CAAAACGACGATCATTTTTCTAATTTCATAGATAACAGAAGACTGTATTTTTTCTACATAACCCCCCCTGACTTTAAAGCTGGATCCGCCCCTGCCCGGTGGCTACAATTATAACTACAAGTTGAGTAGTAATTTGACACATGTTTCGTTGACATTGACGTTTACATCTGATTGTGATTCGTTTTGTTTAAACCAACTTTGGCAAGCTTTTATAGAAATAGAAACATATCGAAAAGTGTGTAAGTATTGTTTTAGGTTATAAATGTCATCAACTCTAGTAAATAAACAAGTCTCAACTGTCACTCGACAACGAGCAATTTTCCTTTCGCAGCGCCCACCATCGGTAGTTGCTCGCGAATAACAAAAATATTTTGAGGAATGCGGCCAATTTTGAATCACCCTGTATTTATTTCATTAGATTAATTATAACTGTCTTGGCTCTCTTGTTGAAGTTTTCACTTCTGTCGTGTGGTCTTAAGCGCATACAACTTTCTATTCGGTAATCGCATTGTTTTATTATATTATTCTGTTCGGTCTGTTGTAAGTATGTTGATTTTTCAGTTTGAATGTGTTGCAATTGTTACTAATTGAAAGAAATCTGGTCTTTCAGTTGAAGGATTGGAGTTCCCATCAATATATATGCCATTTAGTAACGGAAACCGAGAAGACTGAATCACCATTGCCGCTGAACGAAGAAACAAAGAAACCTGAACGATGAAAATCTGTGATAAATTGAATTATTATATAAAGTACTGATTCATATATTAATTCGTTATCTGTAAGTAGTTGTTAGCATCTTAATTTAGGTTTTGTGCCATATTGAAAAAGTGCAAGCGTGTTACGTTTGAATCTACTGACTTACTATTTATTTTTCCTTTTTTTGTATCGACTTGACTTTGACTACTCCCAAATCTTTTCAACGTGGTTATAGACAAAATGCTCCTGCCCAATGAGGATGTTCTATGGTTACTTTGACTTGTAGATTACAGTATGTAGCACCCATTGTTGAGAGCTTGACTTCCAATTTTGTTTTCAAACAGAATTTTGATTTTTACGTTTAAGTTAAGTTGCGTTTTTTGTAATATTTGTTAATTTATTTTGAATAGTTCTGAAATATATCAATTGTATGTTTCTTTTGCTGATCAGTAGTTGTCCCTCCTGGCAGGCGGGCCGCTCAATGTTGTAGGTATATGAAAATACCATAGAATAGTTAAGGGTAGGATTTAAATGGCCACTTTTCCTGGTTTAGTGTAATAAATTTTGTTCGTTTTCTTCGACACCGTTCTAAAACACTTCCAAAGCCCGTACCGCGCCTCCCAATCTTCGAAAAACAAATCGGGCTTGTTCCACAAAATGTGATGTTGAGCGTAACTGTAGACGACTTTGATTGGCGGGTTTAGGTGCGGTGCCCATTCAGATCTTCTTTCCATTATTAGAGCAACATAGTTGTAGAACACCTAGGAGGCATTTTTCCAATTAAAAAGTATCCCAAATGTTCATTTGGGGGAGTAAAGATAAGAAAGCTTCGCGAAATGACCTAAAGAAATTTTTCCTTGTAGATACTGTTTAAGCGGTAGGTACCTCTGCTTTGTGCACATAGCAGACCAAAGACATCAATGCCATAACAATGGAATGAACATGATGGCAGGCCACCATGTTCGTTAAGTGGGCTTGTAGAACGAACTCCTGCATCGCCATCGCAAATGAAACTATACTGGATGCAACATATGAACATGGGATTTCCACGCAGGTAATTGCCAGATAAGTGTACATGTTTTCGAGGTTGATTCTAAAATTGAATAAAAAATCATCGCCAGAAAACGGTCGCAGGACTTGCGTACTTTCGATTGTAATGATGTTTCAATCCGGCAATTAAGATGCGGTAAATGTTCAATCGGTGTTTTTTGTAGTATTGCCGGTCCCTTGCACTGTACTTCGCCACTCTAATATTGTAATTTACTCCTCTGAAGAATATTCTGCAACCAAACGGTCAAATCATTCCCTAACAGCTGCGTGCTCAATTCACCTGGGGTTTTCGAACTCTAGCCGGTTGTAGTGTCGATCGGTAATGTTCTGGATAATCCGGTAACCGAACATGTGATGATACGGATTTTCGGACAACATCATAGTCATTATTGTCTCCATTAGTTCTTCGGGAATCGATTCGCTCAATCGTTGAGTGTGATACCGCAGGGCTGCATATTCCCCGATGCTTCCGAATTCTAACAAAGCATCGTCTTCCATTTCGCGAAAAGTTATTTTTTTCACTATGATTACCAGCTGAAGCAAAGGAAAAACGCATTAACAAACTATTATTTTTCCCAACTGCCATCGTTGCTACCAGACTCATAAGATCTGTGTTGCTTAAATTTTTCGTAATGTTTCTAAGGCAAATATTCAGCCCCATTCTCATCGGTCCGTAACGGAAAACGTGTTCTGGTTTCGGAGCAATACTCTTTCTCAACATGACGAGAAACCTTTTAATCATTGCGTCCGACATGTGGCTCCATTTTATCACTCCCAACGTTTCGTAGAGCACTTTTATTAGCATTCGAGGCTCAACGTCGGACGTTAATGATGCTTGCTCTGCCGTAGCTGTTTTAAAGGCATCCCAGTGAATGGACACTTTCAGAGTACAATGCGCTTACTTAAAATGTCCTCGAGAGCTTCTTCTATATCGCTGTAGAGGTACAAGAGTTCGCATATCATTTCAGTTAAGCGGAACTCGATAGTCCACAACTTGCCCTCCTTATAGAAAATTATGAGCGAATTCAAGACTATGCGATACGTGGCCTTTGGTAGCACGTTGATCAATCTACGATAAGTGTTCATGCATTCAGCAGCCTTTTTCCTGCAAACGAGTAGAGGATTGTATTTGAAAGTTCCTCTAAAACATGTTCGGTGTAATTTCGGTCGCCGTTACTTTCTAGTCCAGGCAATGAGAGATTTGGTGCCACTGCGAAATCTCAGTTGAAAATGATGAATGCAACTCATCACCGACCAAACCAAATGGACCACGTGGTGTGTTTTAATGTATGCTACGTCTGCTCTTGTAATAACGTCGTTTATCATGGCGATCGCTAAAAATATTCATCAACGCTTTCCGTGATCGGCCCAGAATCTACATGTACCTGCACTTCTTTTCAAATGCAGCTCGTGCAAGTCTTTGATGTGCTTCAAGCAACAGTTGCAAATCTTCTTCACTTGCACTTCAAATTCCGTCGAGCTCATTTTCTCGAACATTCCCATTCGTTTTTTTATGAATTGTTTCAACCATTTCTCCTGACCGATTGTGTCGCTCGTGTCGATATCCGATATATGAAATAAGACTGGAGAACATGGACAGAATAACCATGAATGAAGCGTAATACGAAGTAGGCAAAGTGGTACTCACAGTTTAATGATTCGTCTGATTTTTTAACTGAATTGTTCGCCTCAGGATCTTCTTTTTTGCTGTTCGAATCAAAGGTGTCTGCATTTTCGGGTTGCGGCTGATTCGGGCTTTCGTTCGCTTGAACCAGGCTCCCATATCGATAAATTGAATCCATAGTCGAAGTTACTTACAAAATCCGAACAGGTTTAGACGTTGACAACAACATGGGCAGGTAATTTAAGTTTAGCAAAACCATCATTTATTGTTCATTTTCAAAGTTTCACGAAAACAAATTATTCACGGCAATTGTTTTCTAGGCTTTATTCAGTTTCGAGTCGCAAAATTCGCAGTTTTCCTTGATCAGCCATAATACAGGCCGCATCGTTATTACCTCCGCAATATTTGGATGACGAGAACACCGTTAGTAGTCTGCCTTTTTGCTGAACCTGTAAAAATCATTAATAAACATATATGACAGGAACAATTAGCGGAAAATTCACTTGAAAGCCGGCTTGCGCCACTTCGTGAGCTCGTACCAAATGGGTGAGCTGATTGGCTTTTAGGAACCGTTCCAATGCTTCAACACTAAAAATATGAGCGGTACCACGTCTGGTGTTCACGGCAAATCCCTCATTGGCCAGCAGTTCCATTGCGAGTTTATCATTCACGGTTTTTGGCCTAAAACAGGATGTTGAATCTAGTTTCGTACGAAAAACGAATCTCAATGACATGCATTAATATATAACATTGTATATACTTTCCTGACTGTGTTTCAATTCTAAATCAAATTCATTCCTGGGTTTCAGTCATTT